CCACCTTCCAGAGTGAGCTCAACCCTATTCCACCTTCCAGAGTGAGCTCAACCCTATTCCACCTTCCAGAGTGAGCTCAGCAGTCATCTTTTCTAGGGAGACTTCCAGATCACTTCGCATTCATTCACTTCTTTTAGAATTAGATCCAAAGTGTTGTGCTCAAGCCAACAATATTGACGTGACCTACCTAAGAGCTTGCTCCCCATGCCCACTCTGAGGCTCTAGACCCAAGGCCCATGGAATCTGCATTCTAAAAGACCCCATTTGCTTCGGATGTACATTAAAGTCTGGGACACAGTGGGGAGAGGGTAATGTGTGGCCACCGCTCCTACTGCACACATTCAGCATCATTTATTCATTTACATTCATTGGACTGTGAATCGATAGCAGCAAGATATTTTTGTTTTATTTTGTTCTGTATCCACTTAAACATGATAGATTCTCCATAAATGTTTATACAATAAATGAGCAAAAAGGAATACAAAGCAAACCCAAAATCTAGTTCATTTTTATAACACTCCACCAATATATAGTCAGACTCAAATGGATAGCACCTAACAACATCGTGATATCAATTACAATATAGAAGTATTAATTGCAAATGATAGATAAAAGTAATTTTTAGGGGAAATTTTTTAAAGCACGGTGTGTAAGTATAAATATCCTAGAAATATAAAATAGCTTTACCCTCATTAATTAGCAAATGAAATTCAGTGCCTCTAAGGATGCTTATCTTTGCTTTATAAAACCCCCAAACTCATTATATATATATAATATCACTAGTTGGGCATGAGCCAACAGCCTCAAAGATGGAAATAAATTACTCTAAAATTTCTATTGTTTTGCGGATGAAACACACATTATGTTACTATTTATCCTTAAGACTGCAGCTGTTGCTGGCTCCGTGTCACTGTTTACTATAATTACTGTCTTCAGATTCCATCCTGACCCATTTACCATAATAGGATATGCCCAGGCCAGAAAGCAGCAGCCCTCATGGATGTTTGCAAAAGTGTTACATAAGGAATCTCTAAATAAAATGAAAGTTCTTTCCTATATCTTAATTCAGACAAAAGTTCTCACCTGGCTGTTTCTCGCCACTCAGCATCCTCACCTTCACGCCAGCAAATCTCGTCCAGTTCTGTGAAAAGGTCATGAGGAATGTGCTCCTCATCATCATCCTCAGTTCCAAGAATAAACTGCACCCGCTGTGATGGGGTGTCTATGGCAAACCAGAGACATGAACTTCATTACCAAGACTTCAAGCTTAAAATGTTCCGTCAGTCACTGCCTTCAATACTACCCCGAAGCTCCCAGCTCCCCAACCACCACAGCAGCACTCATCCGGAGTACAGATTACAATCAAAGGTAGCATTACTTTCAGTGTAGCATCATTTAGGAGCACATTTATAAAATTTAAATATATACATATACTGTAGGAATAAAAAACTATGATCATTGGTTTGGATTACTTATATGTATTACGTGTATTCCTCATATGTGTGTCACTCACCATGACACACACACGTGTCTCTCATCACATATGCTATAGTTTTCTGTAGTATATTCAGATTAAGTTGGGATGAAATTCACCCATACCAAAACATGACTGACTAAATATAATTTCACATATCACATTATTCTATTTAAATTTTAAAGTAATTTGTCATTGACATTTATGTGACATACGGTTTGATACTTTTATGTGACATGATTTTGACACATATATTGATCAATGTAACCAACATTACAATGAGGATACAGTTGTGTGATAGAATAATGTATGTGAACAATTCTATCACACACACACACACACACACACACACACACAAAAACAACCAATCTTTTGTGTGGCATCATACCCTTATATAGAACTTAACCCATAGCACTATGGCTGTGATCTTATTTCTCTAATTTTGCCCTTTCCATAATTTCATATAAATGGAATTATATGTGCTATATAGCCTTCAACATTGACTTTATTCACTTAGCACAATACCCTGGAGATTTTGAGATCTGAAGGTTTATCTGTGTTATTATCATTATTTATCTGTGAATGGTGTCAATAATTCATTCCATTTATTCCTGGGTAATAATCTACAGCAGGAAAGTACTATAGTTCGCTTATTTATTCCTCTGTTGAAGAACATCTCCTCCCCTCCTACCCACCTCAAGTACTGACAGGAAGAGAGCCGCTGTTAAGTGTTCTTACACAGGTTTTTCTGGTGGACATAAATTCTTACTTCTCTCAGGATTACCTAGCGTGGGGTTCCTGGCTGGTGGCATTGTCGGGTAAGCTTTGGGCAAGGTCAGCAGTTCACAACCACCAGCTCTTCCGCTGGAGCAAGATGAGGCTGTCTGCGACGGTAAAGTTTTAGAGTCTTGCAAACCCTACACGGGGTCGCTGGGGCTCAGAAGGGACTCAATGCAGTAGCACATTTGTTACGTAGAGTCAATGGCAGCCCTAGCAATCCGTGCATTACAGAGCAGAACCATTTCCCTGGAGTTTGCTTAGCTGTAATCTCTGCAGAAGCAGATCACCAGGCTTGTCTACCTCAGGGTCAACAAATGGGCTCTTATCACCCACCTTCGGGCAAGGAATCAAGGGCAATGTTTGTTTACCACCAGGGACCGTCATCATATTTAAGTGTATATTTAACTTGACAAGAATCTGACCATTGGTTTTCCAGAGTGATTTTACTATTCTGCATGTCCAGAAGCAATGTAAGCGAGTGCTTGTTGCTCAGCCTCCTCGCCAGCACCTGGAATGATCAGTTGTTTAAGCTATCCTTTGGCATGATATCTCATTGTAGCATACCTCATTACATTGCTCTAATGACCATTCTTGAACATATTTTTGTATATTTGCTGTTATCTAAATATGTTGAAATAATTTGCCCATTTATAATTATGTTGTTTCCTATTGTTCTGTTTTGAGAGTTCTTTATATATTCTAGATACAAATTTAGTATTACAGCTGTTAAATATGTGACTTGCAAATATTTCTCTTTTCTTCACATCTATATCATGTCTTTAGATTCCTTTAAAGTGTGTTCTCCTGCCAGAAGGTGTCTTTGGCTTTAATGAGGCGCAATGGTACAATTTATCTTTCATTCTGTTAAAGATTATGCTTTTGGAGATATTCAGACACTCAGCTTAACTTCAGGTTAAAGATAGTTTCTCATATGTTTTTTAAGTTTTGTAATTTTATATCAAGTCCAATTTTGAGTTAATTTGGTGTAAGATTTGGTTTGCCATTTTTTTTTTTTTAAGATGCTCAATTGGCCTAACATCAGAAATATAGGAATGGATTTGGGGCTTACACTTAATTATATAACATAAACAATTAGTTATTATGAGAAGGTCTTACTTGACACTTGCCTCAGAAACAGATAGCTGAAGATAGGGGTACTAAAGCAAAGTGTGGTGAAGACAGTAGATGGTGCCTGGCTATCAGAAAGAACAGTGTTCGGAAACTTAAAGGCTTGTTGTAGGACAAACGAGACATCTAATTGAGGCATCAACACTAGCATCTGTGATCCTAGGATTGTAAATAATAAAATACAAGTCCAGAGGGGTGAACAGTATTAGAGCTTAAATCCTGAACATAAGTTTTGTAGAAGGCCATTGTGATATGAGCACCCCAAATCTATTTGCAATGTCCTCACATGGTAAGCATCCATGAAGTCCCTCTGCCTCTGGACCAGGGATATGAATAGCCTTGTTATCAGACAGAGTGCATTGTAGGGTGGATTACTGCAGATACAGTTAGGCTAAATGTGACACCTTGTCATTTGATCTCCTTTTTGACCTGCTTTATATTTGTTCCAGTGTGCAATATTTTCTTTCTTTTCAATTGAGGTTTTACTCTGTTTTATATTGTCATTTTTGTTGGCTTTTGGGTTTTGTTTTACGTATATACTTTTCTGTATAAGAAATTCACTAAAGGTAAATCTATAGAGACATGGCAGGGGAGGTCAGGGGGAATTGGTAGCTAACAACAAAGATAACAAGAAAGAAAAATATGTCCTAAAACTCTGATGATGGTTGCACAACTCTTTTAAATATAATTTAGGGCCCCAGGCACTATTCCAATTGGTAGCCAGGCACCATCTGCTTTCTTCACCACACTTTGCTGTAGTACTGTTATCTTCAGTGATCATTTCCTGAAGGTGAATATGGAGCAGGGCTATTATGTAAGAGCTGACTGTCCTTAAGTTGGGGCTAGAATTTAGTGTGAACCCCAAACCCATTCCTGGATCTATGCCTTTATTTGTTTGTTTACTGTAATTTGAGAGCCAATACATATGTCCCATCAATCCATAGTTCCATCATGCTGGGATAGTTAGGTTTAGCATGCCAATTAGACCAATAGGAACACGTGGGCAGAGTTTAATCAGATCGCAGTTTGATTGGAGGACAACCGAAATAAAGACACCTGTCATCCCAACTCCCTCTTGCTCCCTGGTGATCACACCAGAGTGCTGCTGCATTAGCTAATTCTCTGCCTCAACCTCTGAGCTACACTACCCATAGGACAAGCCAACCTGTGATCATGTTGCTAGAGCTGAAGGCTCCTTCGAGATCTGCTTCGCCATGCTGTTGATGTGTACACCGCTTGAGATTGAGGTTGGTGGATCCTGTCACTGTGAGCTCCAGATGCCATTAGGGCCTGCTTCACTAAGCTCCTGAGCTACTGACTATTGCTGACCCACCCTGCTGCCTGCAGCCTGCGGACAGACCATGCCTGCCTTGCCTGAGGGAAGACTTTACTACTTCCTTGACCTTGGACTCAGAGGCCCACCTGAGTTGAAAGAGTTCCAGTATATTAACTATTCCATGAAAATGAGTGTGTGTGCCTGGCTGTGTGTGTGTATAATCATAAGTTAACTGATTTTGCTTATCTAGAGAACCCTACCTAACACACATGTCAAACATAATTGTACAAGTTTTTGCATAATCCTACATATTTTCCAAAACATACTTTCCCTTCCTGGACTTCATGACATCATCTCCCTGTTGTGTCCCCCAGCCCTGTGTATCCCCCTTCCCCAAAAACCTTTGTTATATTTTCTTTCCCTATAGGCTCAACATCCCTGGGTTTCATTTACCAAAAAATAATAAATAACACAGCTTCAAAAGGGTGAGCCCCAATAGCGACACACCTCTGAGAGGTACTCTAAGGCAAATGAGCATAAGCAGACTATAATAGAATGGCCGTCACAGGGTTGCCAGGATAACACATGTCTCAATACAGCATACCAGAAGTTGATGTACCAAGACCTTGTTTGTTCGCCAACTATTGGTACATTGTTCTTGCTACAGCTGTCTTCTTCTACCTCAGACATCGTATGTTTTCCAGCTTAAGTCCTCAGGTTACACGTGTGTCTGGGGTAGCATCCAGTTCACCCAGTGGAGTTCCCATTTGGGTTCTTTTTGGCTCTCATAGATTTTTTTCTAATTTTCTTCAGCTTTATCCTGCACTTACATATGAGCAATTGATGATCACGTCCACAGTCAGACCCTGGACTGGTTTTAGCTGCTGATATTGAACTTCTCCATTGTTTCTTCCCAGAGATGTAGTCAATTTGATTTCCATGTATTCCATCGGGAGAACACCTTTCGTGTTGTTGAAAAAAAAAGTATTTGCTATGAAGAAAGCATTTTCGATGAGCAGATAGGGTTTACAAAATGCTATCATGCACTCTCCAGTCCATTTCTGTCACCACATCCGTCTCTTCCCAATGACTGTTCCTTCCTTTTGTTTCCAACTTCTGCCTTCCAATCTCAAATAATTATTAATGGTCTTGATTACATGTTTGACTGATTTCTGACTGAGTCATTGGTAGAATTCGTTGATTTCTGAATCATTTGCTTGGCGTTGGTGCATAAATTTCAATAATAGTTGAATTGATTTGATTGCCATGAAGGCAGATAGATATAACCCTATTACAGACAGTACTGTACTTCGTGGTTGATTTTTGACAATGAATGCCCAACCATTCCTCCTGCTTGTGTTAATCCCAGCCTAGTAGATAACATAATTTTCTCATTCCAAGTGGCCAATACCAGTCCATTTCAGCTCACTAATACGCAGGTGTAGATCTTTATGCGGTAAATTTCATTTTTGACCACTTCAAGTTTTCCTAGGCTCATACTTCCCACGTTCCAAGTTCTGATCATTAGATTTTTGCAGTCATGTCTCCTTTCTCGTCACCTTGA